TGAAAACAGCATTCCTCCAAATGGATAAGACTCAACTGTAATAAAAAGTAAGATGCAACAGCAGTAGATGTCTGAGGTCTTTAGAAATTAGCTTAACCAAAAATAAAAAAAAGAGCTCTAGGGAGAAAATATTACAATAAAAGGATTTAGAAAGTTTCAATAGATGAAGAGAGATTTCTTACTTGTAGTTAGACAAAATAAATATTACTTTGGTAAGAATCTGGAGGGAGTCTAGGTTTCTATCTCAGGGAGTGAGTAGGCAAAAAATTAAAAAGATGTACACAGCAGTGTGCTTGAACAATGAACACACCAATGAAGCCAGAATTAGACAGGCAGTCAGTATAGAAAGGTAAATTGAGTCAGGTAGGATCAAGGAGGCCAATTTAAGTCAGGGGAAGTTGGAGACTACCCCTGGGGGATTGAAATGCCTTCAGAGCCCTTCCTCCACTCTTACCAAGATAACCTGCCCTTGCTCCAACCTGTTGCTAAGGTAACCTGTCCCAGGGATTGTCCCTCACTACAGAGAGTTATAAAAGTTTTTAATTATGCCCTCGTCCTGTCCAGATCACTTCACCTTGGCCTCTCCAGCCCATCTGCTTCTCACCTTTGGGCCATCCCATCTAAGCATCTCCTGGGTCTAGCCATGTATGCAGGAAGGAGAGAGATAAGGGAAAGAGAGCAAGAGAACAAAGGAAGCCTAAGACAGGAAAGGAAAATTCTAAAATAAATTCTTATGTAGTCAGTTGAATTTTGACAAATGTGTAAGAGCACATTTGTCAAAATTTGTCAAAAAAAAAAAAAAATAAAGGCAGAACACTCACGCTTCTTGGGATACTAGGATACCAGCTATGGCTCCCTTCTCCTTCCTGGGAGAAGTCTGTTACCCCTTTTAAAATAAATCCTGCTTTATATGCTTGCCTCAGTGTGTTTCTAGAAATTTTGCTTTTGCTTCAGTGAAATATATTATATTTCTACATAAGAGGTAACCAGTAGTATCACCATTATTACAGAGTATGAAGTAATGACATCATTGACATTATATGCATTCATGGAAACATGGGTGAAATTTTTAAATGTAAAGCTGAATGGGAAAAGTAAAACAGAGTAAGAGAAATAATGCAATCCCGTTTATGTGCCACTGAATATCCACATTAAAATACAACTTCTCAAGAAGACAAAGAAGGTTCACACAAAGTGCTGAAGACCTGCAGCTCGTGGGGGAAAAGGACAGAGACTGTACCAACACGTGGAAAACAATGAAGTTCTAAATACTCAGTTTTGTAGCTCAAGAATCAAAACCAGGAGGAATGAAGGTAGAGATCAGTCAGAGGGAGAAAAATGGTTTGGGGAAGAGATCTGACTAGAGTTTATGCTGTGATAGGTGTGAACAATTAAAAGAAAGAAAAGACATAGAGGTGAAAATAAAGTTCAGGCTGAGTCCCCAAGGAGTCTCAAACCTTGATGCCCCATGCAGGCACAGCTCCAGAGACACCTCAACCTGCCACTTTCAGTAGGGATAAGCAAATGCCTGAGTGAGTCTCCCAAGGTGTTTTTCATGCTAGAGTATTGCTAAAGAATACTCAACAAGTTACTCTGCATAACTGTGGCAAGAGCCCGATACCATGAAGTAAGTGAGTCAGAGGGGTCTGAAGTTGTGAATGGAGGACACAGACTGTGTCTTCATTACCAGATGTCATGGCAGGCCCATGGTTATGAGCAACACACAGCTACACACAATGGAATCTTGTCCTTTTGGCCCTTGTGGACT